ATGCACGATAACTGGCAGTTCTTCGAGAAGCAGCAGCACGACTTGCGGACGCAGAGGGTGTTTGGAGAAGGCGTAGGGGGTTGGGCATGCGACCTGTTACGTTATTTCATGTCGAGTCAGCAACGTAACAGGGAGAATAACGGGTTAGTAACCTAACATTCTATCGTTATAACGGTTACGTCCGTATCCTTGGAATGAGATTGCAGACTATCCCATTGGTATCGCGCGAATGATGGTCTGTCTAGCCTTGATCTGCAGTTTGATTGGGCATTCTGCAATTTACTGTCGACCATGGTCCTTCCGCTCGAGACGATCGAGCTCATTGCGTTGTACCTCCCGTCGCATGCCACGCTCATGACGCTGCTGCGTGCGCTGCCAGAGAAGACGCCAGGGATGCAGCACGTTTTTACATGGGGAACGACGACCTGCCCTCCCGGCTGCAGCTTGGACGCACTCCGTATGACCTTTAACGCGCACGAGATGGCCGAGAGAGGCCAGAGTGGCGCCCCAGTTGCTGCGTACGCGACCGCCGCCGCGCCGTTCGTACCGCAAGTGGCCGTTACCATTGGCCGGTTTAACGAGTGGACCTCCCACGTTCTCGCTCTTGCGCATCTCGTGACTACTGTGACGCTTGTGCCGTCCAACGGCTTTTGCATGAGTCCTGACGAAGCGGCGGCGATCCGGGCCGCGCTCCTTGCCTGCCCGCGCTTGACAACGCTGTGCATCGACTACTCGAATTGGTTTGGCCGCACCGGCGACATCAAGCAGATCGACATAATTCTCAGCGCCCCACTGCCGCGCCTGGTGCACGTCGACATTCAAGCAAGTCGCGACAACGAGATCGATCTGCCGCCGTCCGTTGTCGACAGCCTCGTTCGATGGCTCGAGACGCGCCCGGCGGTGCGTCTCCGGGTGCGCTACGCCAGCCTCGCGATCGACGACGACGGCAACGACGGTGTCGGTCCAGCCTTCGCAGCCGCCATCGCCCACTCGACGACGCTTCAAGACATAGATCTCAAGAGCCTGCAATACGTTGGGTCGCATGGCCTGGATGGACTGCCGCTTCCACGGTCGACGCGTGTCTTTCGCTGGACCAATCAAAGCTATACCGATGACGCGGCCGAGGTCGTGACGCGCCGCCTCGGGCAGTCGCTGGCCACGGCAACGCAACTTGAAGAGCTCCGACTCTCGCGCAACACATCATATGCATTTGCCCTTTGCCCGCGAACGCTGATCGCCGAGCTTGCGACCGTGCTTCCCACGATGCAGCACCTCAAATGCTTGAACCTCAAAAACACATTTTTCGACGGCGTCGATGTCTCGCCCTTGACGTCCATTCTGCCGTCGCTCCCGGCTCTCGCCACGCTGCGTGTGAACCAGTCGCGACTGGACGACGATGGCGCCTTGGCGTTCGCGTCGGTGCTGCCCAAATGCACGGCGCTCCGCGAGCTCAAGCTTCGGGACAACTCGTACAACGAGGCGGCGGCAGTTGCCTTGCTCAGCGCGACCGCGGTCATGCCAGCGCTCCAGGACGTTGAAATCGACGTGGCCACCAACTGCAGAGACGGCTGGGCGGCGCGACTGAGCCCACTCGTCGCGCGCTGCGCCATGACGACGCGTCGAATCGTACTGTACAGCGTCCACATCTCGGAAGCCGCGGCCGTAGCTTTGGTGCGTAGCATGCGCGACGACGGATGGCGCATAGTAGCGCGGCACACCACGACTATGATGCAACTCGAGTTGGCGAATGGTCAAGCGTGCTCGATTTCGTTGGTGACCCAAGCCAGAGTATACTAACGTTAGAAGCAAAAATATTCGCACACCGGCGCAAATATACATGTCGTTTTGACGCATCACAACATCTACCCGCGAAGATCAAGCGCCTCGTTGTGGCGTAGACCACGCCTTGTGCGACGCCTGGCACTGTGTTTTTCCTTTGGCCCCGTGCCATTTTGAGCGATTGACCACTCTGCGATTCCAACAAAAATGAAATCGCCTGGATGTGGCACCCATACCAACTTATTTTTGGCACATGCCATAAATAAGACCGTAGTGCCATTTCTAAAACAACATTGTGGACGCGGCGGCCACTTGCTCGGTGAAATGACGTTTGAAACGAAAGCGCTCATAGTTGGCACAGCAATAGAGCATATTTTGGCGAGTAGAGCAGACGATACCACGTCGCCGTTGCTGTCCGATAACACGCGCACTGCACTACACATAGTAAAAAGCACTGCTCTTTAAATATTAAAGAGCAAATTGCCACATTGGGATGCCCGGTCGGGATCGAATAGCTAGCTAGCTAGGAGAACGCAAAGCCAACTTATATTCGACCGGCTCGGTGCTTGGGAGCAATCTTTTGCTCAAGAAGAGTCACTCTCTCCTTGGCCACGAGACGGCGTCGGCGACAACACCGGAGGTAGATCTGCCACACCATCAAAACAAAGACGCCACCGCAAAATGCGGCGAGCACGCAGTAGCCAACGAGCATTGCCCACGTAATGGGATTCGCCACCAGCGTGATCCGAGTGCCATTACTATCATACGCCACGGCGCCATTGAGCTCGATGGCTTTGGTGACGTGGAAGGCCGACGCGAGTCGCCCGCTTGCGACCGCGCTGAGGTAGTACTGGTACGTCGCGTTGAAATTCTCGGCGCCCGAGACAACAAGCGTAATGTCGGCGGCGGTCGGCAGCGGGTACTGCACAATAGAAGTCGGCTTGGCCGGGACACTCGACAGAATCGAATTTGCCGAGTCGGTGGATACGAGCACACAGCTTGCAAGCGCCATATTAACGTCCGTGAGTTCAAGGGCAGTTGCAAAGTTGAACAAGGTGCTTCTCCCGGGGCATGCTATCGCACCGGCAAGCCGCACCTGCAGTACAATCGCACCGGTGCCCATTTTTGGAATGGTCGCAGAACAGTCGCGCCCATAGTAGCCATCGAGGCAGTAGCCCGAGCAGACGGGCAGCTCTCCCGTCGCCTTGTCGCATGTGATGAGGCCAAAGCATGCCGTGTCGAAACCGGCCACGGCGCAGGGCTGGTTGCAGTAGGCGCCCCAGCGCACCGTCGCATACGAGCACTGGCCGTTGGCGCACACGTCGACCGTACAGGACGAGCCGTCGTCGCAGTCGCTGTCCACGGTGCATAAATCGGCTTCCAAGTGATAGCAGTGGCCGGACGAGCACGAGTCTTGGGTATTCGGGCGACCATCGTTGCAGTTGGCATCGACCGAGCAGCTTTGGCACACGTTGGTGTAGACGCATTGGCCGGTGGCGCTGCAGGCGTCGGTCGTGCACGGGTCGTCGTCGTCGCAGTCGTCGACCGAAGTACAGATGGCGCACGTCCCCGAGTGCTGGCACCACCCGGTGGTGCACATGTCGGCCGTACAAGCGCTATTGTCGTCGCACTGAGCGTCCGTCGAGCAGGCGCCACAGATGTTTGCGTAGACACAGTACCCCTTGTGGCACGTTTCTTGGGTGCAAAGGTCGCCGTCGTCGCAGTCGGCAGCATCGCTGCAGGCGACTTGAGCGCTCCGGTGCAGACACCAGTTGTTGGCGCACACGTCGACCGATGTCGTGTTGCCGTCGTTGCACGAGGCGTCGTTGACACAAAAGTTGCAACGGTTGATGTACGAGCAGGTGCCGTCGCAGACGTCATCGGTGCAGGCGTTGTGGTCGTCGCAGTCGGTTTCGGTTGTACACGTTGCGCAGCTGTAGGGATGGGCGCAGGCACCGGCCACACATAGATCCATCGTGCAGTCGTCGCTGTCAAAGCACTCGCTGTCGCTCCGGCACGTGTTGCAGGCGTTGACGTAGGTGCAGAGGCCACTCACGCACGCTTGCGCAGTGCAGTTGGTGTTGTCAACGCAGTCGCTGTCCTGAACGCACGTCGCACAAATGTTGCTGTGCGCGCACCAGCCGTTGGCGCAGTAGTCAACCGAACACGGGTTCCCGTCCTTGCATGTGACGTCGGTCTTGCATGCGCCGCAGATGTTGACGTAGTCGCACACACCGTTGCGGCACCGATCGCCCGTGCACCGGTTGCCGTCGTCGCAGTCGGGGTCGGTAGCGCACGGCGCGTTGGCGTTGCTACGCGCGCACCAGCCGCGAATGCACACGTTGGTCGTTGACGATGTCCCGTCGTTGCAGTCGCCGTCACTGCGGCAGTGCGGGCAGGCGTTAGTGTAGCTGCACGTGTGTGTCACCGCGTTGCAAACACCGAGAGCGCACGCATCATTGTTGCTACAGTCGCGGTCGGTGGCACAGACGCCAGCCGTATTGGCGTGCCCGCACCACCCACTGAGACAAAAGTCCGCCGTCGTCGCGTCGTCGTCGTGGCAGGCATTGTCGGCCACACAGGCGCCACAAAGGTTGTCGTATGCACATTGATTGGCCACACACGTGTCCTGGGAGCACGGGTTGCCGTCGTCGCAGTCGGTCGCAGCGACGCAGGACCCGAAGACGCGGTGTCGACACCACCCGCGCTGACACATGTCGGCGGTTCTCGGATCGCCGTCGTCACAGTTGGCATCGGCTCGGCACCCGACGCAATGGTTGGTGTAGCTGCAGCGACCGTTTAAGCAGGTGTCTAAGGTGCACTCATTGCCGTCGTTGCAGTTGGCGGAGGCCGTGCAATCGATGGTAGTTGGGTGGGTGCACCAGCCGCCGGCACAAAAGTCTACGGTGGTTACTTGATCGTCTTGGCAGTCCGTGTCGGCGTCACACGACGAGCACAAATTTAGATGGCTGCATCGCCCACCGACACAGACGTCACCGGTGCAGACGTTGTTGTCGTCGCAGTCGGACGCTGACGAGCACGTCGTACAGGCATCGCTGTGGTCGCACCACCCCTTGGCACATGTGTCATCGGTGCACGCGTCTCCGTCGTTGCAGTCATTCGCACCGATGCAACGACCGCAGACGTTGGTATAGGCGCAGGTGCCGTCGACGCCACACGCGTCCGTTGTGCACTCGTTGCCGTCGTCGCAGTCGCTGGACATTGTACAAGTCGCGCAACTGTTGCTATGCGCACACCAGCCGCGCTGACACGTGTCCTCCGTGCAACTCTCACCGTCGTTGCAGTCCAGATTCGAATCGCAGGACGCACAGTGGTTGGTGTAGATGCAAGTCCCGTTGCTGCAGACGTCCTTTGTGCAGGCGTTGCCGTCGTCGCAGGCGGCGTCGACGCTGCAGCCCTTCGCCACCGGGATATGGTGGCAGAACCCCGTCACGCACACATCGCGCGTGCTATCTTTGCTGTCGTTGCAGTTGCCGTCCGTCGCACAGTCTTGGCACCCGTTGGTATGCACGCAGCTGCCGTTCGCGCAAACGTCGGTCGTGCAGGCGTCGCCGTCGTCACAATTAGCGTTGGACGCGCAGATACTACGGGCTCGGTGAGCACACCAGCCTGAGAGGCAGACATCGGTCGTCGACGCATCGTCGTCGTTGCAAGTGGCATCCACCCTGCAGGCCTGGCACACGTTGATGTGCCGGCAACGTCCATTGACGCAGCTGTCGCGGGTGCAGGCGTCGCCGTCGTCGCAAGCGCCATCGGTGGCACAGACCGCGCAGGACCCCCGGTGAGCGCAGAACCCCGAAACGCAGACGTCATTCGTGCATTGATCGTGGTCGTCGCAGTCCATGTCGCCGCGACAAGGGCCACATTGATTGGTGTACGTGCACACGCCGTTGACGCAGTCGTCCTTGGTGCACGCGTTGTTGTCGTTGCAGTCGGCGGCGCCGACGTGGCAGGCGCCACATGTGTCACTGTGGGCACACCAGCCAGCCACGCAGAGGTCGGCGGTGCAGGCATTGCCGTCGTTGCACTCGACGTCGCCTCGGCATGCCGAACACTGGCTACTGTAGGCGCAGACACCGTTGATGCAGGTATCCTTGGTACAGGCGTTGTTGTCGTTGCAGTCGCCGGGGTTGCCAGCGCACATAGCGATAACAGTCGCGAGGCAGCTTCCGGTCGCACACACGGCGCTACTGCAGTCGACGGCGCCCTTGCAAGCTGCCGCCATCGCCACCGCAGGGCATATCGCGACGACGAGCAAGGTGCGCCACCGCATCTCAGGATCGTGAGCGTTTCGCGGCCAAGCAGCGCGACCTTTCGCATTTTGTCAAACGGAATTTGCATTTTGCCAGCCAGCGTCGGGCTTTAGGCAGCCAACTTGAAACAATATCAATTTTTCAACTCGGAAGGCGAAATAGGGTGGGATCCGGGGGCCGACAGACTCGGCGATACACGGGCCAACGAAGATCCTGTGTCATACTCGATAGATATATTACATTCAGCGTCGTGTTCTTCTACTCGTCGACGTCTCTATCGCAACAAGTCGGCGACGTTGGCGTGGCCCGTCAGCTGCACGAGATACGCCATGACGGACGCTTCCATAAGATCGTACTCGGCACTCGCGACGAGATCCATGTCGATCTGAGTGCCAGCGTACGTGGCCGCGCTCTCAGGCGACGCTGACGGACTCGCCATCGGGATCGCGTGGCCGACCAGCGTCACCTCCTTCCAGAGACCGGTGTTGTGGCCCTCGGCGCGGGCTGCCGAGAGCGCCGCCGTCATCTCGGCAAAGACGAGCGTCGCCGAATTAGTCTTGACCTTGACGGCTTCGATCTCGCCGTACTTGCGGAATGTGTTGACGAGCGTCTGGTCCGAGTGCGACGCCACACGGTTGCTCCACTTGACGCGGATTGAGCGCTGCTTGACGTCAGCAATGGTCGTTGCTGGGCGGCCGATGGTCGCGGCGCGCTCGGCAGCGTCCCGCGCGCGCTTGGCCGCGATCTCGTCGGCGCGCCGGCGGGCGTCCTCGCGCAGCGCGTCCATCGCGTGCTTGGGCTTTTTGGCGACCTTCTCAGCCATGTCTTCGCGCCGCTGCAGGTCCTCGTATGCCCGCTTGCGCGCTTCGTTCATGGCATTCTTGCGCTCGTCGCGCTGCTTGGCCGCGAGCGAAATGTTGCTGAGCTCCTTGTCGTACTTGCGCTTGTTGGCCGGGTCGAGGAGGAACTGACTCGCGAGCTGGAGCTCGTGGAACTTCTCCGGGTCGCCGCCCTTGTCCGGGTGGTGCTTGAGCGACATCTTGCGGAAGGCCTTCTTGATCGCATCCTCGTCCGCGAGGGGCGGTAGCCCCAGCACCTCGTACTTGCACCGCTCCGCCATCCTGCCACCTGCCACCCGCGTCCCAGAATGGGCCAACCGAGCTGAAAACCGGTTTTTTCTCAACCGGCCAAAACAAAGTAGCCGGTTGCAACCGGTTTGAAGTCTAGGCGGTTCCAGCCAACCACGCGCTGCCACATGAGGTTTTTCTTGAAAAACGCGTTTTTCGCGTCATCAATGACGGTGCTGCCACGACATGCAAGGGAATATCCTACAAACAAACTGCCGGTACCAAGGATCAAAGCTTAGTACATTCCATTGCTGCAAACCGACTGACTACGTTAGACAGAGCTAGCCTAATATCACTCGTCTGGTGCGATGCAGCGGTTGTATCACCAGATCATGCCACCAGAAAGGAGCCGGCGTCTCTAGAACAGCTTCTAGAACCTGGTGCGGCAGCGGCTGGTCCTCGCGCCGTCCGCCAGCACTCTCGCACTGCTGTGTACGAGAACCACAAGAATATTGTCCTTGCGTCCAGGCGCGTGGTCGTCGTCGCATCGTGTCAACTTCCGAGGGAAAGTTCTCTGCCTCTTCAGTTGGTGGCGTCGGAGTCGCAATGTTGGTGGCGGAGAGTGATGGTTTAATGACGTTAAACGCGCTAAACCGTCGTCTGTATTTATTTTCATTTGGATACAACGATCGAGATAGAATAAAATTTCGTGCATTTTAGTACGCACAGCACCGTGGCCAGCACAACATCATTTCCTTCGAGCAATAATGGCTACTGGATCGACCGTGCGGATGACCCCCGCGGCCGTCACGACCAACCTCCTCCGCGCCTCCGCCCAGTCCTTCACGCCCACGACCACGTCACCCTCGCAGGCGACGTCCGGCCGCGCGGCCGACCCCGCCCGGAACAAGCGGACGCGCAAGCCCCGAGCTGCAGGTAGCCCCCCGGCGGCCAAGCAAGAGGCCAAGAACGAGGCCAAGAACGAGCCCAAGCCGGCGCGGAAGCAGCGCCAGCCCAAGGCGAGTACGGGGCCGACGAATCCGACGCCGATACCAGCGCCGGCGGCGACCGCCGAGGCGGCGCCGTCCGAGGCCAAGAAAAAATCCCGGTCGCGCAAGTCCAGAGCCAAGGCCAAGGCGCCCGTGGCCGCACCGGCGCCGACGACGGCCACCGCAACGACGACGATGACGAACGACGACGACGGCGAGGACGAGTGCTGCCTCGTATGCGCCGAGCCGTTCACGTACCACGCGATCGGCGAGTGCAACCATGCGGGCATCTGCTCGTTGTGCTCGATGCGCATGCGCCTCCTCATGAAGGACAAGCAGTGCCCGATCTGCAAGCAAACCAACGACCGCGTCATCGTGACCAAGGTCGTCGCGCCGTACGCGAGCTTTGGCATCTGGGGCGAGACGGGCGGTCCGGGCGTCACGCTGGACGAGAAGGCCGAGATGTTCTTCAGCCAGTGCGACGACCATCACGCGGAGCTTGTGGCACTGCGTACGCTGCAGTGTCGCCACTGCCACGCCAAGGTCTTCAAGACACCGGAAGAGTTTGCGGCCCACATGCACAGCGCGCACAAGCTGTCGTTCTGCGAGCTCTGCCTCTCGCACCAGCATTTCTTTGCCTACGAGCAGCCGCTGTACACGAAGGGCCAGCTCAAGGCCCACAACTCGCAGATCAACCGGCAGCACTCGACGCAGAAGTTCCGCGAGTACCACCCGAACTGCGAGTTTTGCCTCCGTCGCTTCTACTCGGACGTCGAGCTGCATACGCACCTCGAGCAGGACCACTTCAAGTGCCACCTCTGCAACGCCGGCCACCGCTACTACCGCAACTAGTACGTCCCATCTTTGTCGAATCTGGCTCTGAGACGCGATGTAGCATTGGCCTCGAGTCGCACTTTCGCAAGCAGCACCACCTCTGCGAACACCCCACGTGGTACGTGTTGATTGGTGACCAGAATCTGGAATCTCAGGTCTGGTTTCTAGTCTCGGCAACCGCTTTGTGGTATTTAACGACGAGCTCGAGTACCAGAACCACGTGTTTGGCTTGCACGGCGACGACACGCGCTTCCTCGCGCAGTTTGCCGGTCGCCCGATGGAGCTGCCGAGCGAAGTCCATAGCGACGTCTGGGACTATGAGCGAGCGGCGCACCACACACCGGCGGTCGCGCGCGAAGCCTTTCCGGCGCTGCCGACGGCAACAGCACCGTTGGCGCCGCTGCCGGCACCGGCGATTGCGCCGACGCGGACGCCAACCCCGGCACCGACGCCGGTCGTACCGCGGCAGACAATCGCGACCGCGCTTTTGCAGCGGAATCAGGCGCTGGCGACGGCCTTTGGACGACCGGCGTCGACGACGCCCGACGCACTCGCAACCGAACTCGGCCCCAAGTACTCGGCCGAGCTCCAAGAGTGGGGGCGCACCAAGTTCCGGACGCTCTGCACGATCGAGCGCCAGATTGAAGCCATGCTCGCGGACCGCTCGAGCTTCAGCCTCCACCTCAAGGCCATGCCCCGCGACCACCGGCGCATGATGCATGAACTCGCTGTGTTTTACCAGCTGCAGTCGGTGTCCCGGGACGTCGAGCCGCGCCGGTTCATCTCGCTCATCAAGACGCCGACGTCGGCCGTGCCCCCGGTGACGCTCTCGCAGTTTCTCCAAGGACCCAAGCCAGAAAAGCCCCGCGTGCGCCGCGCGCGCGTCATCGTCGAGCGCAACGTGCAGCTGCCCGTGGGCCGTGGGTGGGAGTCGCTCCCGCCTCCACCGCCGGTCGTCGTCGCACCGGACGCCTGGAGCGACGACGACGACGAAGATGACGCGCTCATCAACCCGACGGCCGTCACGACCGAAGGCGCGACGCGGCTCGAGTTCCTCCGGCGCACCGACGTCGTGGCCTCCGACGACGAGGCGGAGCCTTTAACCGCCTAGCAAACCCTCCTGTAGCACTAGTAGACAACATAATATAAAATTGCCAACGGTTAGGGTTGTCGGAGGATGTATGTATATATAATGGTATATAACTTAGGACGTCAACGCGACGACGGACGGCGCCTTGAGCACCACGAGGAGCGTCGTTATGTTGTCGTAGCTCTTGCGCTCGAGCGCCGACTGGATGAGCGCGTTGGCGGCCGCCTTGAGTCGGTCCTTCAAGCCGCCCTCGCCGGCCGCCGCCTGCGCCAGCGCTGTCTGCACCGTCGCGACCGCTTCGTCGTCGTCAAGCCGATCCCAGAGCCCGTCGCTACACGTCGTCCGTGAGCCCTTCGAACCGACAGGCGTCGTACCTGGCGAGGACGACAAAGTCCGAGGCCGACTCTGCGTCGATGCGGAAGTGGCGCACACTCGGCACGCACGAGACGAGCGGCGCCGTGCAGGACGACGGGAGCTGCAGCTTGAGCGGGTGGTCGCCAAACGACCGACTGACTGCGAGTCGGAGGCCGACCTTTTCATGGGCAACGCGCCAGCAGCCCGAGAAGATCACCTGCAGCGAGGCCTGAGTGCTACATCGGAGACAAGAGGTCATGAAAGGACGCCACCTGCCCCCCAGCGGCGACGATGCGCGCTGTCTCCGCCTCGAGCGTCGGCTTGTGGTCGAGCGAGACGCGGTCCGTGGAGACGCTGTCGTCGGCCTTGGACCACGTGCCCCGGACGGCCCGCGTATCCCCCACATTGGCGCAGAAGACATGTGGTCCCAGCACCAAGAGCAGCAGCCCGGTCGCGCCGTCGCGCTGCTTGCGTGCGATGGTCTGCGTGAGAATCTCGTTGTCGAGCGAGAGGAAGACCTCGGTGAGGCCCTCGTAGACAGCGTGAACGTCGGCCTCGGACACGTCAACCGGTACGTCGGCAGCTATTGAGAGCGGTGCGTAGCGCGACGCGATCGCGTGCAGGCCGTCGTGTGCGCTCACGAGCTCGACGAGGCGCGTCGAGGCAAACTCGGCCGCCCACCCGCCGTTGTGCCCGTCAAAGATGCCAAAGGCGCTCGCGCCCGAGTCCTCAAACACCTGTTTCTGCACCACGTGTTCGTCCTCCATGTACGGCCGCGTGCCCTGCGTTCGCGAGACGACGACATGGCACGTCGGCGCGTGGTAGTACGTCGTCGTCTTGAGCTGGTCGCGCTGGAAGCTTCGGATCGCCGCGTCGATCGCGGTTGACATCTTGGCTTTTCCCTTCACGCGCGACGGGTACGTGAGCGCGACAGGCGGCGGCGAGCATTTCGATTTCTTCGGCCCGGTCGCGTCGACGAGGCCTTTGGAGCTCGACCGGGCGCGCTTCTTCCATCGCACGTCGAGCGGGATGGTCTCGTGGCCGGGCGAGAGCGGTCGCGGCGAGAGCTTGACGCCGCGCGCGCGCAGCAGCGTCGAGACGGGCGCGTCGTACGGCTGCTTGGCCTGCTGCGGCCGGCGCGAAAAGTTAAGAAGGCGCACCGCGGTGCGGCCCGGCGTCTGCGCAATGTCGTTGCGCGGCGATGATACGACCAGCGACAAAGATCGCGCCGACGCCTTCGTGGGCGTCGCGTCGACGTCATTAGCCGTCGTACCCGGCGTCTCCATGGCGATATCGCTCATGCGGGCAAGGCAGCGGTCCAAAGCGCGGTCGGCAGAGGTACAGGCGGCGGTCACGTGCGACACGGCGCGAGACAGCGACTTGGTCGGGCCGAGGTAAATTTGGAACTGCGCTTCGCAATGCTTTCCGAAAACACCTAAGTGCGGACTCGGAGGCGCACTTAGCCGGGCACCCGTCGAACGGGCGCCAAAGATCGGGGTCGCCATGATACCCTCGGCGCCATCACGAGCCACCGACTGATTAGCGTTCGTGCAACGATAAACTCTAGTCGAACCTTAGTCGCACGTACGACATATCAGCCTTCCGGCAGTACTAGTAGCTACCAGTAGCCAAGCCCGTCATCAAGGTACTCGTCCGTGCAGGCGCGTCAGCTGATGTCGCTCGTGCAGATTGCCGCTGTGGTGGCGAATGATGGACGCCTATGTGCATGAAGGGTCAAGAAGGACACAACGCGGCTGGCACCGCCACGTGCAGCAGCTAATGGCAGCCGTTTGAGCCGCATCACCTAAGAGTTCGCAGAAGCGGAATCGTTTGGGCGAGCGAGTCCCCGCTTTCAGAGTGCAGAGACGAACGATGGGCGTCTCGAACGGGCGTTGCGACACGCGGGTGACGAAGAACCGACAGCAGAGGACTCTGATGCAGCGCGTTGCAAGCGCTTACTGCTACGGACGATGTCGAGGGTGCTTCCAACGATGGTCTTGCTTCGGTCTCGGGTCTCAGGTCTCAGTTCTTGGTTGCGACCTCAAGTTGGTGTCATCGAAGCTGATTGGTCAGTTTGGGTTGGCGGGAGGTGCTTCCCAGCATGTGATTGGTCCATGTGATCGCGACTCGTGCTGCCACGTCAGAGCCATCGACGCGCAGACCCCGCTCAAGCAAGACGCTCGACGCTGCTACCTATTCGTCTTCATGAGTCCTTCACGGGCAGGCAGTACTCGTCCCATCAAGGAAATTGCCCATTCTCTCAAACTGCCTGTGCTATGATTAGCGTTCAAGCAGCAAACTTGGGTGTCGAGCCACCATCCCAAAGATTCTCGCTATTACGCTCGACGCGTGGACGCGCCAGCTCGTGACGATGGCCGTGAGACTGATCGACGCGGCGTCCCGCCCAAGCCGGTACGCACCTGGTATAAACCCATACAGGTCGGTAAAACTACGTTAAACACCTTGACATGTCAGCAACAGGGATGACATTACCCCTTTTTGTCATTCTAAAATAGGTTTTTCTCCTTCGGGATGCGCAAAACCCGAGGACTTTGCTCATTGCAGTGCCAAGGAATAGCACCAGGGTAGCTAAAGTTGCGATTATAATACAGCTAGGAGAGGCTCACGCGACGGGTTGCGTCGGTGGTGCCGGTGTCACTGGCGCCGGCGGCTTGGGCTCCTCGGTGACCGGCTCACCCTTGAGGTTGATCCGCGACGGCGCGTGCGGGTTGACGTTGAGCGAGCCAAGCACGACGCAGTCGGGATCGATGCGGATGCTTTTCGCAGTCACATTGCCAAAGATCTGGCCCTTGTCCCGCAGTACGAGCCGCTCGACGTTGATGTTGCCAATGATGCGGCCGCCCGAGACAAGCACCTCCTTCATGCCCTCGACCGGGCCGGTCAAGAGGCCTTTCGCGCCGATGATGAGGCTGCCCTTGGAGATAAGCCGGCCGTCAAACTCGCCCTCGATCCGCAGTAGGCGCTCGAACGAGAGCTCGCCCTTCATTTTCACGGCGACACCGATCGTCGTCTCGGCCTCGCCGTCGACGGTCTTGAGTGGCGCGACCGCCGGGCGGTTGCTCACGGGCGACGAGGGCGGCGACTGCGACGTCGCGCGGTGGTTGCGGCCCCGGCGCGGAGCCACAGGCGCCGAGTAGCTGTCGTCCGACTCGAACGTGTCGGCGTCGGTCTCGTCGTGGTACGTGGTGCGCTTGGGTTTGGGCGGCGGCTGGCGACTGACCATCTTGGGAGGAGACGCGAGGTCGTCGTCGCCGGCGGCGTCAAACTTGACTCGAGGGAGCGCTATCGTGCCGACGGTCGATCGAATCCCGTACTACAACTGGTCGGTGGTTACGCCGACGTCTATTTGCAGTCAACCGCCTGAACCGGTTGCAACGCCCGGCCCATCTGCAACTAGATGCAAACCCGGCTAACAGTTCACTCTTATCGACGATATTCTACTCGGTGCTACCACGATCGATGCGACTGCACTGTCGGCCACGGCGTGTTGTCGGGATGCACGTACCGCGCGTCGACGCACCGGTGCAGCATGTCGTTGCGCAGGCCCGGGCAGTCGCTCACACTGTGAAAGGAGACTTTGGCCTGCACCAAGTGGCAGTAGGCGCAGACGTACTCGGGTGGCACGACAAAGCCGTTCCGGACGCGGTGGTTGCGGACGTCGCCCAACAGGATCGGGCACTTGTTGGCGGTATGCGAGGTCGCGCCGCAGTAGGCGCACATGGCGTCCGGGCGGCCGAGCGGGTCCCTCGGTAGCGGCGGCCCCAGCGACGGCGCGCTGCTCACAACACGCCCTGGGACTTTCGGCATCGACTTGCCGGGTGGCAGCACAAAGTCCTTGTGTACCTTGCCGGCGACGAGCGCGTCCTTGAGCTTCTTGCACACCGACTCGTCGTGCGTGTAGTAGTGCTCAAAGAGGAGGCAGTAGCTGCAGAGAAACCCGACGGGCACCACAAAGTCGGAGCGCACGCGCTTGAATCGCATGTCTTGGAGCAGCTTGAAGCATCGGGTGAGCATGTGGTTGTCGGCGCCGCAGTAGAGGCAGCCGCGGACCTGCGACGGGCGAATCGCCACGGCGCGATAGCTCGGATGGACTTTGCCGCGGGCCGTGTCGGCCCCGAGGCGCGTGCAGTCGGCGGTCGCGTGGGCATAGACGTCGTCGAAGAGCGCGCAGTACGGGCACACGAGGCCCGGTGGCACGACAAAGTTGGCGCGGACGCGGTGGCGGCGCAAGTCGCCGATGAGCGCCGGGCACTGCGCGAGCGCGTGCTTGGACGAGTAGCAATAGTCGCACGTCGACCCCACGGGGATCTCTTGCAGAGCGTACTTGTCTTCGTGCGGCAGACACTTGCGCTCGACCGGCGTCTCGGTGTACGCGACCACACGCCGCGCGCCGGGCCGAGGCGATGACAGCGGCTGGTTCATGTAGCTGGCTTCTTCGTGGTAGTAGCTCGATTGCTCGTCGCTTTGCGTGTCCCAGCGCGAAGCCCGGACCGGTCGCGACTCGTCGAGGAGGTGGTCGAGACTACTCAGGAAGCTGGCGGCGCTCGGCGCGGCTTCATGCGCAGGCGGTTCGGACCGGCCGTGGTTGCTACTTGCGGGAGGTTGAGCAGCGTGCACTAATGGCGAAGGACGGGGCGGACTGGAAGCTGTCGTCCGGCGCTTGTGGTACTCTGCGAACGACATCATGTTGGTGGGTGTTGGCGCCACCGGTGCTTCGGTGCTTGGTTCCATCTTGACGTCGACAGCGTCGTCATCGTTCGAGTTGGCGGGTTTGGGCTTCTTGGCCTGCGATGGGGTGACCGCGGTTGGCTGCTTGCGCTTGAGCGTCGCGCCGGGTGGCAGATCGCGGAGGTAGTTCTCGACGCGCTGGCGGAGGAAGCGATACTCGAGCTTCATCTTGCTCCACGCACGAAACTGCAGGTTGAGCTCGGGCGCAAAGAGCGTCGCGAGCAGCGTCGCCTGGACCTTGTCGGCGACGTGTGCCCGGTAGGCCTCGAACCACGGCTCCGCGACCGGGTCGAACTCGATCCCGTCGATCGCTTGGATCGTTGGCTCGTGGTCCAAGAGCGCGGCCGTGAGCGGTGCCATGGCGGCTTCGAACGAGGTGAAGAAGGCCGCACCCGAGGCCGGCTCGCATGAGAGGTCGAGCACGCCCTGCAACAAGGCCATCACGTCGCCGCTGGACGCAGGACGCTGTAAGCGCTGCCAAAGCTTGTACGGATCCGACCGGTTCCCGACCGCCAGCGCTGGCGCGATCGCCGACGACAAGTAGGCAGCGGCGGCCTTGGCGCGGGCCGCTTGGAGCGACCCCAGAAGCGACTCCTTAAAGACGTTGATGTGCGCGTTGTACTGACTGCGGCGCTGCGCGAGCGCGGCCGCGCGCTCGTCCGGCGGCAAGTCGTCGAGTCGCGACGTGGGCATGAGCGCCTTGGCATCGCGGAGCATCTGGGCCATGTCGTCGGCCGTGATCGCATCGGCCAAGCTCGGGTCGAGGTAGTCCTTGGTCAGGTAGTACTTGATGTGAGCGTCGGTCTCGGTGCATGTGAGGAAGCTCGTCCTCCATGCGGCGACGCCATCCAGCGACGTCAGGATCGGCCCAGGATACCGACCGGCCATCGAGACGTGGTAGACGCAAGAACCACTTTATTGGTCGGGACACTATTTTCGTCAACGCACACTATTTTATGCCGACACGACCGCCGCCGGCACCGCCACGCGTGTGCTTCTGTGCGACCCACCACGTACTCTGTCATCGCATGCGCGTCAACTAGACCAAGTGCATTCTTTCTCTGCCCTTGCATTGCATCGACACCTGACTACGCGATGCTATCGTCGCCGCGGGATAGGGGTACGACTCCACCAAAATGCATAGTACTAGTTTGTTATAGAGATTGTCTAATGAGTGCTTAGCCACTGGGAGGTGGCGATACGAACGGTGCTTTTGCCCACCCGAGCGCCGTCTTGATCGCACCAAACGCCACGTCAATACCGTAGCCAAAGTAGCTCTCTTCGTACTGCGGCACGGGTCGGCGCAGCTGGTGGCCCAGGACTTTGGTTGCGCGGCGCTGCGAGTTGTCGCTCATCCACCACAGCACCGCGTACGTCGCGCCCGACGCCGTCGTCCGCGCACCGAGGACGACACCCGGGTACCACTTGGCGGTGTCGTAGAGGCCGACGATCTCGACCGGGTCGCCCGGCGCGTACGTCTCGCTCACAACCGCCGCCGATGTGGGCGGCGGCGTCGGTGGCGCCTGGAGCGCGTGATGCAGCAGCGTCGACACGAGCATATTTGGGTCCTGCGTCACCATTCCGTCGACGCCGCCAATGTCCTCGAGGACCTTCCACGCAGTGTTCTCGTGGTTGACGGGCCCGACAAAGACGTGGAGACCGCGGCTGTGCGCATCAAACACGAACGGCCGCGTGACGACGCCTGCGTCAACGTACACGTGCGACACGTGCAATGCCTCAAAGCTCTTGCAGTACCCAAGCGGAATCGAGTGCGTGATGGCGACCGTGTGGAGGCCGTGAAGCGCGTGCGATGCGCTCCGGTGCCCGTTGATTGCGAGCAGCTGGTAGTGGTTGCCGGACGCAATGTAGAAGCGCGCGCTGGACCACCACGACCGCTCGTCGACGCAGACGGCCTCGAGCTGCGCCAAGAGCGGTGCGATCACCGCGTCGGACGTCACGCTAAAGTACAAGGCGACGCCCGAGATGGTCGCGAGCACCTGCTGGAGCGAGAGGATCCCTGCATCGCGGAGCGCGTCGGCGTCCATGGCGTCAAGAAAGAGGCTGCCGTCGACGATGCGGTCGTGGTGCACGACGACGGAGCCGTCCCCGGCCAGCTGGACGTCGACCGATAGGACGTGGCACCCGGCGGCGACGGCGGCGGTGAGCGCGGTCATCGAGCGGGACGTCCGCGGGTGTGCGATGCAGGCGACGCGAGGCAAGAGCAGTTGCTTCTCGTCGACTTCCGGGATCGACTCGAGCGGTGGTGGACTCATAGGCGGGGCGAGCGAGAGTCGCAGCTGCGTGGATTCGAGGTGTTTGGTCGCGACCTCAATCGCGCGCGCAAGAATACGTGGCGGCGTCATTAGGCTGCCGTAGCGCTTGAGGAACCGCTGGAGCAAGCCGTCGATCTCGTAGTCGCGCGGGTCGATCGACTGCACTTGGCGGCACAGCGGGCACGCGTGGATATGGTGTTCGGCCGCCTTTGCCAAGCACGACCAGCAAAACGTGTGGCTGCAGCTCAGCGTCACGGGGCTCGTGAAATGGTAGAGACAGATCGGGCACGACGCATCGGCGCTCGCGGCGGGCGCGTCCGGCAAGAGATGCAGCAAAAGCGCGTCCGTGGTCGCGGCCGTGTGCGAGTAGAGGTCGTCGACGTAGCTGCCGGCGTAGAAGGGCTGCAAGAGCAAGTCGGACGCCAAAATCTCCGATTGCATCGAGCCCGCAATGCTCTTGTCAAACTTTTTCGAGATCTTGACGACCGCGAGGTAGTTGAGCACGACAAAGCGCCGCAGCGCGTCGACGCGGTGCGAGAGGTCCAGCGCCGCGTTGAGCTGCGCCTCGACGTCGCCGTGCGCGGCCGTCTCGCGGGCGCCGAGGTCGTCGAGGATGCAGAAGAAGGACGCGTTCACTTTGGCGAGCTCGCGCTGGAGCGCCATGCGGAAGCCCGCGGTGCGCTCCGTGTCGGAGCCAGCGAGGGACTTGACCGTGCGCTTGAGGCCCTTGTAGTCGACGTACCCGCCTTCCCACTCGGGCGCCGCCAAGTACCGCATGCGCTTGCCAAACTTCATCGACTCTGGTTCTTATTGGCACTGAGCATGGCGTTGACCATCCCCAAAATGCAATGTCGTATCTTGCGAGATGCGGTGTCGCGATTTAAACCGCGCGAATTAAAAAAAAGAGAGGGACTCTCTCTGCTTGTGAAAAGGACTGAAAAAGGCAGTGGTCTATTGTCACGCAACTTTGCGCCGCTGGAGGCGCCACGGCGACTCTCAGAGTGGCACAGCGCCAACGACCGCACGCCCCGACAAAGCGTCAACCGACCGTCAACACGTGCTCGATCCGTGCAGCGCTGCAAAGCGAAAAAAAATGCAAATCCAAATGCCAGTGCCAAACGCTGGGAGTCGAGAAGCGGGCTGACACCTCGTCTTGCCACGTGGATGCCCACGAATACACTGTATATACATGCACTCTGCGGTTCGACCAAGCGAGAAATCGGCCTGCGACATCCGACGCCAGCATCAACCTGCCGTGTCGCGCATGCAGCGCTTGCGTCATTCCCTGCGCGTTCTTGGCGTCGCAATCGACGTCCTGCAGCACGGATGCCGCCGCGTCACTCGTTGCTCGCGGCGTCGTGTCAACGGCCCTGTGGACAGGCCGCGCTTTCGTTGCGTGCATCTAGCGTACGCCTAAACCAGGCGGCGCCACTTTATTTAAAATTGAATTTATCTTTTATTTTATTTTTGAATTTTCGCACGAAACGGCCAGAGATTCAGCGCCAGCAGAGTGCGAATCTCACTTGACAGCCTTCGACCCCCGAAAAGCGCTCTCCTCCCACTCACTCTCTTCCGGATACTCTCCGGATACGTAGTGACGTAGCAAGGTACAGATTTAGTTCCGGCGGCTCCGCAGCAGCAGCAGCATGGGCCTCAGCGCGTCGCGGTCCACCAAGCCATGTACGTGACCGCTTCCTGGGCATGGCCGCCTCATGCGCACGGCTAGTCGAGCTCGAGGAGTTCAAGGTGGCCTGGCTCGCCTTCAAGGTAGGCCCTCGTGCAGCGAATGGTGGCTCATGCGCACCAGGCGGAGATCACCGAGACGGGCTCGCGCGACCGTGGCCTCGCCAGCAAGCGCGGCCTCGCGTCGTCCAAGTTCCTGCGCAGCCTCTACGGCGGTACGTGCGTCGCCCGCGAAACAACTGGCGCCTCATATCGCGCTGCAGAGAGCATGGTCGACGAGATGAAGGGCCTGCCCGACGACCTCATCTCGCGCGAATACTTTATCGGGACGCTCGCGCTCTTCTACCAGTACGTAACGCACCTCGCATGCATGCACTCATCGCGCGTAGGGGCAACACGGAGGACAAGATCGGCTACGTCTTCAGCATGTACGGCGTCACGTACGGCTACGAACGGTACATCCTCTTTCATCCGCCCGAGTCTGATCGCATGCGGCCAGACGAGACGACGGCGTGATCAACTATAACGACTACCTCAACCTGCTCGAGTACCTGACGTCGCACCAGTCGGTCGCGCCAGAGCTCGCCAACGTCTTTGACGACTGCGACCTCTCCAAGGACGCGTACCTCCAGGCGTCGACGTTTCTCAAATGGGTACGGCAGTACCCGCACGTTATGGAGGCCCTCGCCACGCTCCTGCCCGCGACCTCGGTCGACGACGAGAACGTGGTCGACGACGTCGCGCTCGCGGCTCCGATCCCGTCGCACGTTGCCCACGAAGACACGTACGCTGCGTCCTTTCTTGCATAGTAGATCTGAGCGTGTTCGTAGCGACCCGCTCAACGTGAGCCCGTCGTTCAAGTACGCGAACGAGCGCCGGCTCAAGAACCTCAGCTCGTTCGAGATCCTTGGCGGCGACAGCAGCGAAGACTCGTCGGCCGACTCGGACGTGGTGCGCTATCGACGATCTACTGACTTCTCTCATGTCGCGTGCATAGGAGCTCCACGGAGACGCTGTCGACGACAAGCCGCGGTCGTCGTCGCCGCCACTGCGTCCGTCCTTGCCCCGGGACACGGACACCGTCGACGACCGCACCGCCAGTACGTCGCCACACAAATCAGAGCTTAGTCTGAGCGCCTTGTCTAGGTGCCCCGATGCCCCGGACGCACGACCGCAAGGGCCGGAACCCGATCGGGAAGCTCGGGCGCGCGGTCGGCGGTGGCATCTCCAAGGTCGGCCGCAGCATTCTGCCCAAAGGCAAGAAGGGCGTCGCATACGCCACGGCCACCGCCGGCGGGTCCACCGAGAACCACCACTACATTGGCGGGTACCTGCACAAGATCAGCGACGGCAAATGGAGCAAGCGCGTCTGGCACACGCGCTGGTTCGTCCTCGACCTCGAGCGCGGCGTGCTCTCGTACTACAAGGCGAACCCGTCCTCGAGCATCAACTCGCCGCATGGCTCAGTGGCCTTCTACGACGACCTCGACCTCCATCTGCACGTTGGCGACGACGCGCGCGCGTCCCACCATCATTCGCAGCATCCAGTGGTTCACAAGCCGCACCCGTGGTTCCGCGGCTGCATGGACCTCAACCAGACCAACGTGTCGCTCCTCTTTGAGAAGCAATTTGCCCAGAACGCGCCCAACCAGTACTTTTTCCAAGTCTCGAACCTCAACATTGGCGAGTCCGAATCCAAGCGCGGGTCGCAGTACAAGGTATCTATCGATCCTATCCAACAGAGTCGGATTTACTTTTGGATAGCTTTGCGCAAATACGGAAGAGGAGTTTATGCAGTGGACAAATGCGATCGCGGACGTCATCAACCGCAAGCACACGACGGGCAAAGCCGAGCCCCGTACGTTTCCTATATTTTTCGAAAAGGAGAAATCTCACGGCAAATTTGCAGAATCCAACTTGTCAATTCAGCAAATTTACCGCCAGCGACTCCAAGAATCTTCGATCCACGAAGCGCCCGAGGTAGTCGTCCAACAAGCTTGTATTTCGCTGCTAATGGTTGATGGTAGGAAGCACCGGTCGAGACGGAACCAGCCGAGCGCGACTCGGAGCCGGTCCGTCGCAGCAGTGTCCGTGTGTCGACATCGTCGTCGAACGCGACACCGACGCCGCAGCCGTCGCCCACCAAGCCGCCGCTGCACCCACCAACGCCGGTCCCACCCATCGTGCCGCCTCGCGCCTACTCGGAGATGACGCCGGTCGCGTGGCGCTTCGCCTTTGCCATTGAGGGCCAGCGCGATTGCCTGCTCTTCCTTTGCCTCCTCAACTTTGCCGTCTTCTCCAGCTTTGCTGCGTTTGGCCGGTCCGGACAGCTCTTTGTCATGGTGCTCATCTCGCTCGGCTTTCTCCGCAGCCTCCGGAGTCCAAGTCACCGTACGTAGTATCCTATCTCGTTGTGTCGTATCTAAGTACCTGGGAGTAGTCGCTCCCGTGGCGCTCTCGGTCGACGACGACGACGTTCCACCGTGCGTCGCCTCGGGGGTGTGCTGTCTGCATGCGCCGCCGGCCGCGGTCGCTGTCTCGTCGCTGCCCTTTCTAGCGCCGGTCGTCGTCCCGGCGCCGGCCCCGACGCACCGGAAATTCTCCTTCGACATGTTTTCGTCGTTCAAGCAGTCGACCAACGACGACTGCGCCGAGAACGCGTGGTCGTTCACGACCGCCGAGACGTTCAACGTCCGCAGCCTCGATTACAAGAAGAGCAAGAAGAAGGAAGCGTCGGCAAGCGCTCTCTTTGACTTTGTCGGCGCCGACCTCGTGCGCAGCGACGCCAAGATCGACTGCATCACGCAGCACGTCAACCTGCCCCCGCATCTCACGGGCGAGAAGCTCTTTGTCATCAACGCCCAGGTACACGCTTCCTCTTTCCCTTATTTTTCTTCAACTCGATCTAGTTGCCGCTGTATGGCCCGTCGATCTTTGGCGGCGGCAACTACGACGGTCCCGGCGTCAACCTCGCCTTGTACTGGACGATCCCAAAGGACGTGCAAGCGCAGCTCGTGTCGCCGTCGACGCCGACCCTGCGTCTCCTCAAGCGCTTCTTCAACTCGGCAAAGGACCCGTCGATCCTCGACCGGTTCAAGGTCATTGCGCAGGTCGTCAACGAAAAGGACTGCGGGCTCTCGGGCATGCCCCGCAAGCTGCTGCAGAAGAACAACGCGACGCCAGTGCTGACGCGGCCCCAGCACCGCATCTACCACCGCGAGCACTTTACCGAGATCGACGTGGACGTGCACATGTTCTCGCTCGTCGCGCGCACCGGCATCAACTCGCTCGTCGACAAGACGGCCAAGATGGTCATCGACATGTGCTTTGTGCTCCAGGGCGAGACGGACGACGAGCTGCCCGAGCACATCCTCGGCTGCGCGCGCATGGTCCGCGTCGACCTCTCGAGCGCCAAGCACCTCGACCAGGTCATCCACGTCACCTCCCTATCTTCCTAAACGTCCGCAAGAAGTCTCTGTATCCTTCATCTCGCTTGAATATTGGATAGTCGGATAGGTTAGATTAGAATTACGTGGCGGTCGGCGAGTCCGGCGGCTGCGTCGACGAGCTCGAGCTGCGTTGGTGGAGGAGGCCGGCTTCGTCGGGCTTGGCGTGCGCCGGCGCGTGCACAAAGCACGCTGAAAACTGCTTGACGACGCGCTCGATCACCAAGTCTTTGAGGCTCAAGTCGCCGTCCTCGAGCATCAAATCACAGAGCCGGTCCGTCACATTGCTCAGCGTCGTCATCTACGCCAATCTCAATCTCAAACTGAAAGAATGGAATCGGACCTTGTCAAACACGCGGGAGATCTCATCGTCGACCTTGGTGAGGCCCATGGCCGGCCCCGGGAGGTTGGCACTCATGCGCGGCGAGTCTTGGACGACGCAGAGTTCGTGGAGGGACGAAATGTCGCATTTCTTCTGGTGGCTAATTGCGTGGATGGACTCGAGGACCTTCTCTTGGAGGAGGTCGATCTGCTTGGTCTGCTGCACGCACTTGTTGCTCGTCACATCCTACGGCGTTTCTAGTAGGACTCGCCCATCGTCAAGATCAAGGACGGACAGCAAACATAGCTGCGCGGCGCTGGATGCCCTCGAGGTCGTTGGCCAGTTTTTGCGTCTCGGTCTTGGCCGCCAGTCGTTTCTTCTTGAGCGACTCCATCGTCTCGTCCTCCGCCTCCTTCTTCTTGGCGCTGAGGCTCTTGATCTCGGCCTCGAGCTTCTTGATGACATCGTTGAGGCGGTCGGTCTCTTCCTTGGCCTTGGTGATGACGCGCTCGTGGTCAGCAAACTTGTCCATTGTCTTGGCCTTGATCTCGGCCATGCGCTTCTCGAAGAGTCCGTCCTTCTCGGCAATCGCCTTCTTGGCGCCTTCGAGGTCGGCTGTCACTTGACCGAGCCCGTCGATGGCCTTTTGCTTCTCGGTCGTCAGCGCCTGCACGTACTGCTTGACCTTGACCTTCTTCTCTTCCTCGTCCTTGAGGAACCGGTCGTGGCGCGCAGCGAGCTCGCTCTTCTCTTGCGACAGCTGCACAGTCTGCGCTTTGGAGGCAGCTAATTCGGCTTGGAGTGACGCCACATCGCTCGACTGCGACTTGTGCTGCGACTTCTCGTGCGACAGCTCCATGCGGAGCTCGTTGAGCTCGATCTGCAGTGCGTCCTTCTGCGCCGTCTCACGTGACAGCATCTCCTTGTGCGAATGGAGCTCGTCGGTGGCCGTGCGAAGTTGGTCCTGAAGCGACGCGAGCTGCGACTGCAAGCCCGAGGCCGCCCAGCTCGTCTCCGACTGCAGTGACGCGAGCTGCGTCTGCGCCGACGACGCTGCTGCCTTGGCCGTCTCGAGCGCTGATGTTGCGTCCCGCAGAGCCGTCTCGACGGCCGTCTTGTCCGACTCGATGGTCGCCTTGTCGGCCTCGAGGCGCTCCACACGACCTTCGAGGCTCTGCTGCGTCGTCGCTGCGTCACGGACTGACGCCTGCAGTGCCTGCGCCAAAGCCACGGGGTCCGAGCTCGTCGCCATCGGCACAAGCTGCTCGAGAAGACCGGCGACTGTCTGTAGCGTCTCTTGCAGCGCTGTTGCGCGGCTGGCACTCGCGCTCTCGGACGTTGATGCGTTGGCTTGGAGGCTCTGCGTGTGCGTCGCCGCCGTCGCGAGCTGTGCTGTGAGCTCGTCGACGTGCGCGCGGCTTGTTGCTTGCACGTGCTCGAGCTCGCGCGCATGAGACTCGGCGAGGCTGCGAATCTGGGCTTCGAGTTGCGTATGTGCGTTGCGCGCGTCTTGTTCGAGCTGTGCTTTCTCAAAGGCCCACTGCGACGATGCTGTCGATACGTCCGAGCTCACGTCGGACAGGGTCTTGATCTGCTCCTGGAGCATCTGCACCGTACGCGCATGCTCGTCTTGGGTCCCTTGAAGACGGCGCTCGTTGTCCGCGCGGCTTTGGGCGAGCTGGGCTCGCATCGTCTCCATGGCCTCGTCGAGTCGCTGCTGCATCTCGCGCTCCTTGGTCGCGACGGCCGCGGCTATATCGGCCTCGCTGGGTCCGAGGTCGAGACTCGGACTCGCCGGCTGCGCCTTGAGCGTCGCGAGCTCGGCTTCCTTGGCCTGCACTTGCGACTCAAGAGCATGCACGCGGTCTTTCTCAGCCACAATTTGGGCACGCACGTTGTCGGCGAAGGCCTTGGCCTTGACCTTGATGTCAGCGAGCTCGGCCTTGGCGGCCGCGAGCGAGGCTTCGAGCTGCTTCTTCTCTGCGGTCATGGCCTCGGCGAAGGCCTTGGCCTTGGTCTTGAGCTCGTTGAGGCTGGCCTCCTTGGCGGCAGCGTCGGCCGTCAGCCGCGCGACCTCTGCGTCCATGGCACTTTGCAAATGCCAATGGCACGCCGTTGGGACCTATTTTTACGCATGGATTTCAGCCAATCAGAGCGCGCCAACCTATTTTTTGATCGCGATCTTTTCTCCGTCAAACCGCCAACGACCCGTTCGTTATCCACTGGATGCTCAAGACACTGGATGACGCACATATTCTGCATGTTGACTGCAAAACAAGCGCGCTCGCTAACAACCGGTGACCGATGGGCTGGACGACCCCAGCGACTACGCGTCGTGACGAGTTGCCGCCTTTTGCGCTCGATGACCTTACGACCGCACTGGGTGTTTGAGGCCTCACAAATCTTGCTGACAATGTCATCCAGGCGATTCACAAGCCGAGGTAAAGATTGTCTAGCTGCAGCGGACGATCGGTGCGGTGCTAGAGCAGTCCGAGACAACAGCAAATGCGGCGGTGAGCCTTCGCAAGGACGTTGCTCTGGCCGCTCTGACGACGCGGCGCTTGGAGGAGCAAGCACGCCTCCTTGAGCGCTGGGCAGAGGCCGCTCTGGCGACGACCCAGCATTTTGCTTCTCGGCGCCATAGGCTCATGCGCGCCAAAGCTGCTTGGTTCGAGCTTGCCGAGGCCATTCTCAAACTCACGGCGTCGCTCTAGGACTCGCACCCGCGCATGAAGGAGGCTGGCCACGCCGCTGCTCGACCCGATTTCCGGGGGCCACATGGGCCCGTCCAAAGCGCGTGGTGTGCTCGTCAAGGACGAGAGCCACTTTTCGCACCTCGTGCGATGGCTGCAGCATGTCGTCGTCGGTCGAGCGGTCAAGATTTTCTCAAGGTCTCTGCGAGAAGCTCGTGCACCTTGCCCTGGACGCGCTTGATCTCGAGAGTGTCTCTGACGAGTCAGACGGTGTCCGCGACGTTGCCATGCACGCTGGCTCGATCGTCGCCAATGCCCACGCGCTTTCCAGCACGAAGGACAACTTGCCTGCGCTCGAGGCCGGTATCTTCGACGACAACTGGCGCCTTCGTCAGTCGTCGATCTCGCTCCTTGGCGACTTGGTGTATTGCGTCATCACCCAGGTCGGCCCGATCATTCCGCGCGCGAGCCTCGACCCGATGAACCCTGTCAGCATGCGTCGGGGCTACTGCTTGGGTCTTGTCGAGGTCGTCCAGTGCTCGCCCAAGAAGCAGCTCGAAGATTCGTCGACAGGTTTGTCGTGGCGCTCAAAGGCGCTCTATGCGACGCGCTGCCCGAGGTCCGCCGCGCAGCCGGTGATGCGTTTGATGTCTTCCCAAGAGCATGGACTACCGCTCGATCGACGAGCTCATTCGACACCTCAAGCGTATCACGTCGGTAGACGACCTCGTTCTAGAGCGCTCAAGGTCAAATCGCGCCACGTGCCCCCGTACCTCGCACAACGCCAACGGCCTTGACCAACATCCAAGTGATTGTGTCCGTCTCGGGTGCAGTGCTGCATTGCGACGTGGACCGCCTCCGCAAATCAGCACGTTCCATCTCTCTCTATCACTAGCGACTTGTAGTGGGCCGTTGAAAATAATCCCAGCATTCTCCAACATTTTCTACATTTTGGCCATGCACCGCTACGGCGGGCGTGAGGTTTGT